ATGGGCAGAGGTATGGGCCCATCATAGTTACTCGATGATTTATAAGATATATGGGAATATATTTAGTGGTTTATAAGATAAAAATTATATATTTTAATTATCTTTTATAGGTATATGTAGTTGCTATGATTAAGGATGGTACAGCATTAAATAGTTATAATACGTCAATTACTAATATAAATCGAGCAGAAGATAGCACTGAAAAAGAATTTGGAGAATTCGAATTTCAAAATGAAAGTTTGTTAAGTTTAGTACAACCTGAGCTTTTAAGTTTGAGTCAATATTGGTTAGCTGCTTTGAGAGATCATGCTTTACTTTCATTACCTCCAGGTAACATGAATAATTTTTTATTATTTTTTAACAACATTAGACAAAATTATTAAATAACAGTATAATATATTATTGTAGAATTCTCTAGCCAGTTACCACACGACGGTGGAGCTTTTTATACGACAGATACAATGGAATCTGCTCGTCCTCATTATGCAGAATCATGGGCTCCGATACTTCACGCTGCTGCTTTATGGCTTAATGCAAAAGGATTTGGAATGTCAAATACAAATGATGAAACAAAAGCTTCAAATGTTTCTAGTAACAATTTAAACAACAACAATAACAACAATAGTAGTAGTAATAATAATAATATTTCAACTAGAGTTGATACAAATGTTGAACGTTTTCACCTACTTTTTGGTGAGTGTTGTTCGTAGACATATCAAAACGTTTTTAAATCTAATATTGTTCATAAAACACTTATTTTCATATTATAGGAATATGTATGGAAGCATTGTGTAGTCCACGTTCATCTGAGTCTACGCAAAATATAGAAACATGTTTAAATGCTTTATATACCTTACTTGATTCTGTATGGGCTCGTAAAATTTTAATTACAGACAAATCATTATCTATTGAATTGTGTAATGTTTTACATAGGTATGTACATATATGTAACTAATAAATTACAAATTCTGAATAGATACTTTATATATTTACATAAAAAAAAAATATTATTTTTTTAAGATTACTTTTAACGAGAGGAAATTATATAATTCAAATGATAACAATGGAAGTTTTAAAACAAGTAATGAAAGCAGCTCAAGAAGATTTGACAGAAAAAAAGAAAGAAAAACAAAAAGGTATGAAAATATATATGTATTTATGTATAAACAATCATCAATATTATAAATATCAATTATATTATAAATATGTTCAACAGAATTATCACCAACAAACGAAGAAAATAATGAAAAAGAAGAATTTGATTTATTGGGCGAAGGAGGAGAGACAGGAGAACTTGTACCAGGCAAATCATTAGTGTTTGCTTTATTAGAAGTATGTTTATGCTTATTAGTTCGTCAGATACCGGCATTAAATCCTAATCCAGGTAGTGCGACTGCCATTTTATCTCAAAAAGGTTATATACCAACAGAAGAAAGTGGAAAACTTATTGCTTCTGCTCTAAATATAATGGAGTCACTTCCAGTACTTTGCTCACCACAAGGTACAACTACACTTGCATTGTATTATTATAAAATATAACATATAGATATAAAGATATATTTTCTAAGTATATTAATTAATATTACTTTTTGTCTTAGGTGCTATAGCAATTTTACCAACTTTATTATACTTAGCAACAGGTGTAATAAGAGAAACAGCAGTACGAGTTGATAATGATTTTGGAAAATTAGGTTCAGAAACACCTGTTCATGCAGCATTACATTGCGTTAAAAGTCTTACTACTAACAAATATGCAAAAGATGATAGAAGCCAAACCCAATGGACGGGACTATTACAAAGTGCTTTAGCAAAAGTTATTGATCTTGCTAAAACAGGTATTCTGTGCACGTAAAAATAGAACAATTCATTATTTTAGTATAGATGTATTTATATATAAATAATATAAACATTTTTATATATTATAGGTAATGATGAAACCAAAATGGATGAAGTTGCGATGATGCTAAGTATTGCTGTATTTGTCCTACATGCATTACCAGATGTTATCAGTGCACCAAATTTACAGTTTCCTTGTATAAATCATTTTAGACATGCTTTTCAGTCAGAGAACATGCTAGTGAGTAAACAATAAAAGAATATATTTTAAAGAAGTCTTAGAGTTGATTAATACTTCAATCTTAAATATTTTTCAGGTTAAATTAAAGTGTGTTCAGACCTTAAGAACAATATTCTTACATCCTGAACGTATAATAAGTACACCCTATATTCATTCATTGGCACCTAGATTAGTGGAATATTTATATAGTGATAAAAGTAAACAAGTTACGAATGAATTGGAACTTTCCTTCACATTGGAATGTATCAGTACAGTAGAAGCTCTTATAGGATTGGCTGAAATATCTAATCGTATGTATGATTAAATATTAAATGTAATATTATTTATTGAATTAAGATTAAATATTGAAAAGATATACATGTTACATTGCATTCAGGAGAACTCTTGCAAGGTGTGTGAAATAAACTTTTGTACACACATAACACTACAAATTAAATTAATAGATATTAATTTAATTACAATTTGACTAATCTTTTAATCTAATCTATATTTTGATTATCAGGTATACAAATGTTGACATTACTAGTTCCGATTCTAATCAATTATCTCTTGGAAGGTGATCAGCTCCAAAATGCTTCCAAATATCAAATAACATTACATCAGCAAAGTTTTCAATGGTTAAATAAAATAGGACCAAAATATCCACAGGTATTTTATATATTGAATAGAATGATATTTTGTGTTTCATTTATAATATATTAATTTCGATTTTAGGAATTTAAAACATTAATGTCTCAATCGGCGGAGTTAAAAACCAAATTGGAAAATGCGGTAAGATCCAGTCATCAGCAAGCATTAAGGCACTCTAGACCTATAGAACCTGTAAAACATCAATTCAAGATGTCCACACCTTCTATAAAATTAAAAACAGATTTTTCTAATTTTAACTAACTATAATAATATAATCAGAAGTTGCATAAATGATGATGATTATATAATATCTTTTAATCTTTTAACATGTTATCTCAACGGTATAGAACAAATGTGATAATATGGATTAGCTCTTTCATCTGATAACTAATTGACAAACAAACAAAAAAAATGAAATATCATCCAGTTATTTCTTTGATACATCTATAATATACTTACAAAAAAAAACTTTAGATAAAATCTTCTAACATATTTTTTGTTTGCTTAGTAAGGCTCATGTGTGATTGTACTTAGATAAAAATAGTAATATGATTTTAGAAATTTGAAAATTATACAAGAGACGATTGGAAAAATAAATTCAAACTTAAACATCTGACATTTGTCCAATGCATTTGTTTAATACATTTGTTTGTGACATCAACGTGATGCCACCGAATGACATAATGTTGATATCTCTAGAATATATTCTATTCATTCAATGAAATTACATAAACATTGGATTTTTTGTTGTATAAGTATATATAAACTTGTAAAGTTTACTATATTATATAATTATCAATATAAAATAATTTCTTATATCATTTTTTTTTCCAGTCTTCTCTTCTGAATTCAATAATATTCTATATTAGAAATGAATTGTATATATTAGATATAGAGAAATTATCTTTAACATCCAGAGAGTAAATATTAATTTACTGTATAACATGATATCCTTGTGTTTATAATTTTATTTTATGATTCGAACTTACAACGTGTCTATTTGTTTGTGTGTGTGTTGTGAACAAAATAATAGTAAAAGCACAAGGAGAGATAGAATATAGAATATTTATAAGAAAAAGAAAAGAAAACATAAAAATATTATAAGATTATGATAACCATCCAACAACGTTTTGAAAACTAATGACCAATATCATGACTATTGTTCATGTATTTTCACAACTGATATACGTATTAATGTTTTGATATATTTATTTATATTTAGAATTTCTATTAAATAAAAATCATTAATAGATTTTATAATAATGACAAAATTAAATTATGTAATAATATGTGACAGAATTTATATAACAGAACTTTTACTTTTATTAAACATCTATGTATACAAATGTCAAAAAATATTGAATGTTCTTGTATTGTGTATACGTCAATATTTCATTACAAAATGGCAAATATTTACTGATATTGATTATTTACAAAAAGAAAAAAAAAAAAAAAAGAGAAATGTAGTAAATTAATAACTATAATAATCTAATAATACGTAATTTTTTCTTTTAAATGTGGCACTAACATAGGTAATTGTAGATGTGTATACGAAAGAACGAAAGTTACGTTTAATTTTGATTTATGCATTTGAGAAGAAATTAAGAAAATTTGTAATAATAATATAAAACATAAAATATAGTAAAAAGTAATTTTCATGAAAAAGTCAATTGAAAAAATGAAGAGAATACTAACTGATGTATTATTTAAATTTACAGTGCATTTAAAATGATCATATTATTGTTTAAAATATATAACGTGTAAAAAGACACGAATAATGAAACATTTTGTTAGAAATAATATTAATAATACAAGAATAGAGAGAAATTATTATTGATAGTAAATTTGTAGTTACGTGAATCATAATGAAAGTCATTGTATAATTGTTAGAAGTTCTACTATTTTTTATATTATCATTTAAAATTAAGGAAAGACGATAAAACACAAATATGTAGATTTTACATTACAATAAAGTTCCAAAAAAAAAAAAATTCTTTAAATTTAATCTTTAATTATGTTGACGCAATATAAACATTATTTTATAAAGTTATCATTTTGTATATTACATGATTATAGTTATAATTGATAATTTGAAATAAAAAATATAAAAATACAATAACATGTAACTAATTGTAATATATTATACTTTCATTATCAGACTATTATAATTATGTAATATACAATTTTATGTTTGGGTGCGAAAAACATTTTTCTTCCGATAAACATAACATAACACTGTTAAGTAAATTACATATGAACACTCATATACATATAAAGATATGATATCATATGCCCTTGTGTCATTCAGTGTTCAACTCTTGTACGGGTAACACCTAATTGCTTACTCTTGCAAATTTTATAATTTACTATATAATTATTAATTATATGTCATTTAAGAATATCGTTAACAAAATGATAAAAGCCAAAAAATTTGTGATTGCTAAGCATTTTGAAGGTGAACCAAAGCCATCAGATTTGAAATTAACAGAAGAAAATTTACCACCGATTACCGATGGCGGTATGTTGCGTAGATCTATTATTATTCATTAGACAACTCATCATGATTTATCAAAATTAAAATTTATGTATAAATAAAAGAGTGAAATATATATTTTTAACTTGTTATATATATAATTTAAAAAAATGAGATAAATTTTTTAACTTGATAATATATATATATATATAGAAACAGATAAAGTGTAATAAACATTGATAAGCTTTGTTAATTTATATTTTTCACTCTTCAATGATATGGTTTAAAAATAAGCATGAAGATATTATAACTAATTATAAGAATGTTTTTATTTTTTATTTTAAGAATAGATACAACATAAATTTTGTGCTAAATTTACAGAAGTACTTGTGAAAGCAGAATATTTATCTGTTGATCCCTATATGAGACCATACATGCTACAATTTCCACTTGGTTTTACTATGATAGGTGGCCAAGTTGGTAAAATAATTGAATCAAAGAATTCAGATTATCCAGTTGGTAAAAGAATATTTGGATATTTTGGATGGAGAACTCATACAATTTTTAATCCACGAGCACCTGAAAAATTTAAAACTATTGATCAGGAGCCATATTTATTACCAGACATAGGAGATTTATCTCCTTCTTTAGGTTTAGGAATTTTAGGAATGCCAGGGTATCGAGAAAATTATTTTCTTAGAATTTTCATAATAATTTAATACTTTCAATTAATAAATGTATATATATTACAAATTGATTACAGAAATACAGCATACTTTGGTCTAATAAAACTTTGTTCACCAAAACGTGGTGAAACACTTGTTGTAAGTGGAGCTGCTGGTGCGGTTGGATCTCACGTAGGTCAAATAGCAAAAAATATTTACGGTCTTAATGTTATTGGAATTGCTGGTTCAGATGAGAAATGTAATTGGATAGTAAATGAATTAGGCTTTGATAGTGCCATTAATTACAAAACGCAAAATGTATCATTGGAATTAAAAAAAGTTGCTCCAAAGGGTGTTGACGTATATTTTGATAATGTATGTTGAAATAGAAGATTTTTTTTCATTTATATATATATTTTATAAATTTATATATCAAATCTTGTAATTATATACAGGTTGGAGGAGATATTTCTAGCAATGTTATATACCAAATGAATCCTTTTGGTCGTATAGCAGTGTGCGGTAGTATTTCGTCATATAATACAGATCACTCTACTCTGCCTAAATGTACTTTGTTACAACCAGCTATGGTTTTCAATCAACTAAAAATGGAAGGATTCGTAGTTACACGTTGGAATGACCAATGGCAAGAAGGAATAAAACAGAATTTGCAATGGATTAATGAAGGCAAAATCAAATCTAAAGAAACAATTACAAAAGGTTTCGAAAATATGTTTCATGCATTTTATGAAATGATGAAAGGGCAAAATATTGGTAAAGCTATTGTACAAGTATAAAGCAATAGAATCAGCTGTTTCCTTATAAGCACATATTTAATATATATTTGAAAATATATCTATTTTTATATTTCTATATAAATTTATGCGAAATGACAATGTCTATATAAAAAAAAAAAAAAAAAAACACTTAGTTTTTATATGAATATTTCTCAATCAAATGATTGTGTTTCATTTTATTGTATTGAGATCTAAATAAAAACAATAAAATTAAACTTTTTAATTAAATCCTTTCTCACATAATTATATATTTTTAATTTGTTTTATATATGAAGGAAATATAGTTCTAAATATATTTAAATAAATGGATAAATAATACGATATTCATAATTATACAGAAAATATATGAAAACATACATAATAAGAGGATCTTTCATCTTAGAATCTGGAAATGAATCATTATTATTTAATATAATTTTTTAGTTATAATAAACGAAAATGGTTAATTAATAGTATTAATATTAATATAAATTTATATAATAAAAAATAATAGAAAAATTTATAAATAAATTGAACAAGTAGTGTAGCCGGGATCAGTCAACGTGTAAATTGATTTCCACTCTTAAGCGCCCCTGGCGGATATTAATCAAACTAAGACCTAACATTTCTCTTCCTCTAGAGATCCTATAGGAGGGATACGCCATGTACATTGCTGGGGGACAGGAACTCGATTTTGCGCGCGAATGATTCAAACATTGAAATAATTATGAAATAATGAATTGCATCAAATACAGAAAAAAAAATGAACTATATTTAATGATAATTAAAAATTTATATTAAAATAGAATAGGTTACACGAAAAAAWTATTATAAATTCAAGCGGTCCCCCAAAATTTTCAGCCAATGGCACATGAGCTGAATATGAATGGCGCATCCCTTCTACAGGATCCCTAGCACATCCCTCCTACAGGATCCCTATCTTCCTGTTTCATACACTGCACATTGTCTTTATTGCTACGTTGGATCATACATCTATATAATATCGCATCATTTAAGGCGAACTCTGGTAAGTGAAGTTAGGTTTGTAATGGAATGCTTGCAGTTCTTTAGTAGCTAATTTCAGCCTAAGCTCGGTCTCGTTTGTATATATGTGTACTCGTTTCGAATACATATTTTGCAATAGGAAGCGACCCTGGAGAAAAGTCTCAATTTGCCTTATTGAGACGTTCTTTGTAATGCTTGTTTATAAATTATGTTTGGTTTTATATATATCAAAAATAGAAGAGCTAATTTAAGTAATACTCTATTGCCTATCGCCATTTGAAAAATTATTCGTTTATTCGTTAAGCAAATCATTCGAAGAGTATAATAGCTATTATATTCAAGAGGAACATATGACGGACCTTTGTAGTATCTTTGCAAAAAATTTCAATATTGGCAAGATTTAGCCCAATGAAGGTAATTTTCTTAATTTCTCATATATTTATTATTCATATTATAATGAACAAATATCCTTAAAAAAGAATTACACGGTTTAACATACCTATGCATGTACAAAATTGAAATGGATATCCAAATACTTTGTTTATTTTTATTTCATTAAGAATCTCTCTTATATATATAGCTTGTCTTTATATGATTTTATTTAAAATTACTATTTTTAATAATGTTCAATTTAATTCTTTGAACATTTTTATTCTTATTTATTTCTGAATAATTTTACAAATATACTTCAATGGGTGTTGCTCAATGATAATCTATAAGCCTTTTTTTTTTTTTACTACAGTACAATCTCTTATGTAGAAGTTTTCTTCTATATATATATATATATATATATATATATATAGAATATATATATCTTCTATATATATATATATACATATATATCTTCTATATATATATGTACATATATATTTACAAATGTTATTTTTTTAAAGTAATAAAATAAAGCATTTTTATTTTTATATGATATAATATATTTGAAATGAAATAGAAACGATTATAGTAAACTTTATTCAATATATATGTATATTGATATATTTAATTGAAAATTCAAAGTATTGAACAGATAATGTCAGATGATGATGTTGCCTTGGATTCAATGGATACCGAGGAAGATATATTCAATGCCAATCCTGTTAGAAGGGCAAAAACACTACGTACTTTACGATCTCACTCCCATGGTAGCACTAGTACGCATATTACTAGGAGTAACTTAAGTGTACGACGTAGTACACGTAATAGAATGCAAACCTATGACAACCTTAATACTAGTTGGATTTTAGGTAAAGGATGTTAATACATTCTTTAATCAATATATCATTTAATACAACAGCATAGATTATAGATGTGATTTTTATTCATAAATCATATGATAGGAACGCAAACTTTGAAAGGATATCCTATGTTTCAACAACATGGATCTTCATCTGATAAAGAAATGGTAGATGAAGTACCTGATAGAAAACGTGAATTGCGTGATCGTATGCCTTTAAGATCACGTGAAAATCATCCTCCTAATAAAAATTCAAATAGACATATTAGAGATAGAACTGATCATGATCATCAAAATAGTAGAGAACTTAGGGGACGATCTGATCGTGATCTTAGAGAAAAATCTGAACAAGATAAAGATATTAGAGAACATAAAGATAGGCAAGGCCGAGAAAAGCCAGAAAGAGAACATAAAGATAAATTAGAAACAAGAAGTAAGTCTGAAGTAAGAACATCAAATGAAGACAAAGATACAAGGTGAACATTTACTTCATATTACATCATATTTATATCAATATTAATTAATACAGTATAATTATTATTATAAAAATTTGTTCAACAGAACAAGTAAATCTAATAGTCCATGTAGACTTAGGGAAGGTCCTGTAACTAGGTTATGCGGAAATTCTTTAGATAAATCTGTAAAATCTAAAATGGGACAAGATGAACCTGAAGATAGCTCACATGGGAGTGAAAAACAAGAAAACAATGATAATTCTGAGAATGAGGGTGTAAGCAATTAAACAATTTGAATGTTTTTATATCTATATTTACGTGTGTATAGAAATATAACAAAAAATTAGTATATAAAATAAGATTAGTATACAATCATATTAAAGTTTTCAAAATAATATTTATGTAAGTATTTATATTCAACATTTATTATGTGCAGGGATACGAAGACATGTATACACGTATTAAACGCACTAGAAGAACTACTCAACGACAAATACCAAGGGGTAAGAAGATTACAGGTCTGGTATCTTATTTATTATATTATATTATTATATTGTAAGTATATAAATCAAACTAATATTATTTTCTTTTACAGTCGTAGATAGTGATTTAAGTGAATCATCAGATTCTCCTGGTCCTAGAAAATACAGTTTACGTCAAAAAAAGCCAACTGTAGATAGATTTCAAGCCAATGTTGAGCCTGTTAGACGATCTATAAGAGCTCTTCGTAGTGTGCTAAGCAATTCTATGAGAAGACGAAAGCACAGAAGCAAAAGTACAAGTTCTAGTGATTCTAGTGATTCAGAACCGCAACGATATGATAAAAAGAAAGGGAAAAAAGCGAGGTTAGTTAGAGAGAACAAGTCACATCAAAATTTCTTTATTAGTTCATTACTTAATTTATTGTTTAATTCATTAGGCAATCAGCAATACCCCAAGGCGGTCCTCCAGATCGTAAAGCAGATATCAATCCTATTACATTAGATACAAATATTAGGTTCAGTGATGTTGGTGGTTTAGAATCACACATTCATTGCCTTAAGGAAATGGTTGTTTTTCCTATGATGTATCCAGAAGTTTTTGAAAGATATCATATTACACCTCCGAAAGGTGTTCTCTTTCATGGCCCACCAGGTAAATTTATATTTTATATTTATATATTAAAAACTTACAATTATTTTTTGAAATAATTTTATTTTGAACTGTATTATATTAATCACTTTGTTACAGGAACTGGGAAAACATTAATAGCTAGAGCATTAGCAAATGAATGTAGTCAAGGTAGTAGAAAAATGGCCTTTTTTATGAGAAAAGGAGCAGATTGCTTATCAAAGTGGGTTGGGGAATCAGAACGGCAATTAAGATTGTTGTTTGAGCAGGCTCAACAAATGAAACCGTCCATTATATTTTTCGATGAAATTGATGGTCTTGCACCTGTCAGAAGTACCAAGCAAGATCAAATTCATGCTAGCATTGTATCTACCCTTTTAGCACTTATGGATGGTCTTAGTGATAGAGGAGAAGTAAGATAAATATTTTCATATACACGGATACATTTRTTTACTGTTAAATTAATTAATTTCTTTTCTTTTATTTTTGTAATAAAGGTTATAATAATTGGTGCAACTAATAGAGTAGATGCAATTGATCCTGCACTAAGAAGACCTGGCCGTTTTGATCGTGAATTATTCTTTCCTTTACCTGCAATGAAAGAAAGATTAGATATTTTGAAAATTCATATTAATAAATGGAAAAATCCACCAAGTGAACAATTGTTAGAAATGTTAGCTGAAAAAACAACTGGTTACTGTGGTTCGGATTTAAGAGCTTTATGCACTGAAGCAGTATTACAAGGATTAAGAAGAACATATCCACAAATTTACACGACTAGCAATAGATTGCTCTTAGATCCTCAACGAGTTGAAGTATGTTACTTTTTTTGTTTAATAATTTATACAGAGAAATATATAGAGTAATCTTTGTAACAACTCATAAATGTGTTTTGCAGGTGAAAAAACAAGATTTTATGCAAGCATGTTCTATTCTAATTCCATCATCACAGAGAGTAACTCCTTGTGCAGGTAGAAAATTGCAGCCTTTTATGGAGCCACTATTAGGTCCTCCGTTGGAAGAATTAATTGGTCTAGTAAAAGGAACATTTCCTCAAGGTGTTAATCCCGCTATGGCAAAGTAAGAAATATTTTTATAGAATGCTATATTTTTATAAGTGTATATTAGTATTTATTTTATACTTAAATTAGTATTTATTATAATATTTATTAATAAATATTAATTTTCCATAGAAATTAACATAAATGTTTTTCTTCTTAGAGTGAAGGTTACTAAAGGAATACATCGTCCAAGATTATTAGTTTCTGGTGGCAATTTATCTAAAGGTCAAGGACCTCATTTAGCACAAGCTTTATTACAT